TGTGTGTGAGTGTGTGTGTGTGTGAGTTGTGTGTGTGAGTGTGTGAGTTGTGTGTGTGAGTGAATGTGTGTGAGTTGTGTGTGTGAGTTGTGTGTGAGTGTGTGTGTGAGTTGTGTGTGTGAGTGTGTGAGTTGTGTGTGTGAGTGAATGTGTGTGAGTTGTGTGTGTGAGTTGTGTGTGTGAGTGTGTGTGAGTGAATGTGTGAGTTGTGTGTGTGAGTTGTGTGTGTGAGTGAATGTGTGTGAGTTGTGTGTGTGTGTGAGTTGTGTGTGTGTGAGTGTGTGTGTGAGTTGTGTGTGTGAGTGAATGTGTGTGTGTGTGTGTGTGAGTTGTGTGTGAGTGTGTATGTGTGAGTTTTGTGTGTGTGAGTGTGTATGTGTGAGTGAATGTGTGTGTGTGTTGTGTGTGTGAGTGTGTGAGTGAATGTGTGAGTTGTGTGTGTGTGAGTGAATGTGTGTGTGAGGTGTGTGTGAGTTGTGTGTGTGATTTGTGTGAGTGTGTATGTGAGTTGTGTGTGTGAGTGAATGTGTGTGAGTTGTGAGTGTGTGTGTGAGTTGTGAGTGTGAGTGTGTGAGTTGTGTGTGAGTTGTGTGTGTGTATGAGTGAATGTGTGTGAGTTGTGTGTGTGAATGTGTGTGAGTTGTGTGTGTGTGTTGTGTGTGAGTGAATGTGTGAGTTGTGTGTGTGAATGTGTGAGTTGTGTGTGTGTGTGTGTGTGAGTGAATGTATGTGAGTTGTGAGTGTGTGTGAGTTGTGTGTGTGTGAGTTGTGTGTGTGAGTGAATGTGTGTGAGTTGTGTGTGTTTGTGTGTGTGTGTGAGTTGTGTGTGAGTTGTGTGTGTGTTGTGTGTGAGTGAATGTGTGTGAGTTGTGTGTGTGAGTGTGTGTGTGTGAGTTGTGTGTGTGTGAGTTGTGTGTGTGTGTGTGAGTTGTGTGTGTGAGTGAATGTGTGTGAGTTGTGTGTGTGTGTGTGTGTGTGTGAGTGTGTGAGTTGTGTGTGTGAGTGTGTATGTGTGAGTGTGTGTGTGAGTTGTGTGTGTGAGTTGTGAGTGTGTGTGTGAGTTGTGTGTGAGTGTGTGTGTGAGTTGTGTGTGTGAGTTGTGTGTGTGAGTGAATGTGTGTGAGTTGTGTGTGTGAGTGTGTGTTGTGTGTGTGTGTTGTGTGTGTGTGAGTGTGAGTTGTGTGTGTGAGTTGTGTGTGTGTGTTGTGTGTGTGAGTGAATGTGTGTGAGTTGTGTGTGTGAGTATGTGTGTGAGTGTGAGTTGTGTGTGTGAGTGAATGTGTGTGAGTTGTGTGTGTGAGTGTGTGTTGTGTGTGTGTGAGTTGTGTGTGTGTGAGTGTGTGAGTTGTGTGTGTGAGTGTGAGTTGTGTGTGTGAGTTGTGTGTGTGAGTGTGTGTGAGTGAATGTGTGAGTTGTGTGTGTGAGTTGTGTGTGTGAGTGTGTGTGTATGTGTGTGTGAGTGTGTGTGAGTGTGTGTGAGTTGTGTGTGTGAGTGTGTGAGTTGTGTGTGTGAGTGTGTGAGTACAGTCACACGCCCTGGCCTGGCCTCAGGCCCTCCCTGGGTAGCTGGCTGATGGCTTCGGGGGTGAAGCTTCCACAGCCATGGCCCAGGAACCACTTGGGGCCTCTGGACGGTGAGTCACTGCCCTGAGGTCTCACAAGCTGCCTGGGCAACATGCCACCTAGTGGTCACCGCAGGACGGCTTGCCTGTCCTCAGCCTTGGGGACACCCCTCCGCCGAGACACTTTTGAGCCGGTCCCATCACAGGCTGAGGAGCCACTGTCCATGTGGTCCTGTTCCCGCTGCCGAGCCCGGAGTGTGCAGGGCACTGGGAGGGACAGGAAGGACACTCGGGACACTCCAGACCTGGCGACATCCCCTGACCCGCAGCCCTGCCATCGACGTCCAGGAAACAGCCAGCAGCCTGCGGGCTCAGTGCTGTGACCTCGCACAACCGACGGCCTCCAGGTGGCTTTGAACCGCTGACCTGCCGCAAGAGCCAGCGAGGGTCTCCGCGGGGCGGTGTGGACGCCGGAGGCTGGGGCTGATGGCGGGAAGGGACGGAGCTCAGGGCCGTTTTCTACAGCCCGACGCACGCATGCGCTCATTCATTCATTCACCAAAAAGCCCTGGACGGTGCTCGGTGCGGTGAGGACACGGAACCCTGTCAGGTCCCCGTCAGGTCTCACCTGTGGGACAGGCAATGGGACCAGACGCTGACCGGGCTGATGATGTCTGTAAAAGCGCTCGGGGAAAGCCTCCCGTGAGACGACAGGAGGCAGCACTTGTCGGGAAGCGACATCTGGCGGCGACAGCTGCCTCAGCCGCCTGACAGAGCGCCACCAAATCAACAAAGGCAAATTTGCACCTGCGCGATGCGGATCCGGAAGTGACGTTCCGGAAGAAGCGGCCGAGGCTGAGCCATGGCCCATCATGGGAAGGCCGAACGGCCGCCTGAGGAAACATTGTCGCTCTGGAAACGGTAAAGAGGTTTAAAGACGCATAGGGGCTGGATAGGGAGTTGATGCGGCTCTACGCCCATCCCCTGACCTCAGAGCTTCGGAATCACAGAGGAGGCTGGTAGAATCGGTGTCCGGGCCCAACTTCCGGCTCGACGGGCAAGGTTTTTTTTTTTTTGGGAGTTGTAGTCCTCCGAGCCTGCCTCTTCCTCATTGCCGTCCCCCGAGTCATGGTGGACCAACTCCCGAGAACAACAGACTCACTTGTGAGTCCTTTGCAAACCCTCAAACCTGGCGGGTCTCCCAGTGGAGAGTTCGAGTGATCACCAGAGCCCTCGGTGTTCGAGCCGTTGGACCAGTTCCCGCTTCCGGCGCCATGGGCGGAGAGCCTTTCGGGAGTTGTAGTCCTTGGTGCGGATCCGCCCTTCCATTTCGGCGGGCCCTCCTGCTTCTCACGTCCTCTACGTGAAGAAGGGAGACTAATGCCAGCAGCGACAGGCATGATGAGTCGCCTGAGACCCAGCCTCACACTCCCGGGACTGTTCTAAAGGGGTACCCTGTCGGCGTCGGCGCTGGAATTTGGGGGCTTGCTTGGGAAGGAGAATCTAGAAGTGGGCTTCGGGGACTGACCTGACGTGTGTCTCCTCCAACCCTCCTAGGGAGCAAGCCCGGCTGAAGGCTCGTGTCATTAACTGGGATACGGAAGCGTGGCAGCGGGACGCGGACTTCTCGGGTCTGCAGAGGGTCGGAGGCGTGGACGTGTCCTTTGTGAAAGGGGATGGTGTCAACGCCTGCGCCTCCCTGGTGGTCCTCAACTACCCTGAGCTGGAGGTAACCCCGGATGGAGGTGGAGCCTGGCGCCGGCTTGCCCAAATTATAGTCTCTCCAATGATTCTTCTCTTGTTATTAGGGGCCACCAAGTCGGTGCCGACTCTTAGCCAGCGTACGTACGCACAACAGAAGGAAACACTGTGGGTCCCGCACCAACCTCATAATGGTTTGCTACCTTTGAGCTCATTGCTGCAGCCACTGTGTCAGTCCCCCTAGTTGGGGGTCTTCATCTTTGTCTCCGACCCTCCACTTTACCAAACATGATGTCCTCCTCCAGGGACTGGCCCCTCCTGATAATATGTCTGGAGTATGAGACGTGTGACCATCCTGGCTTCCAAGGAACACTCTGGCTGCACGTCTTCCAACATTGATTAGTTCTGGCAATCCATGGTTCTCCTCCACCACCGTAACCCAAATGCATCAGGTCTTCTATGGTCTTCCTTATTCACTGTCCAGCTTTCGCATACATGTGAGGTTACTGAGTATACCCTGGCTTGGGTCAGGCGCACCTTTGCCTCAAACTGTGCCTCTAATTGTGCTCATGAGGAACTTGTACATAGATTAAGAGGCAGTTGTCCAAACAGAATAAAGGAACACTGAATGGTTTAATATTAGCAAAGGTGTGTGCCAGGGTTGTAGCCTTTCACCATATTTATTCAATCTGTATGCTGAGCAAATAATCCAAGAAACTGGATTATATGAAAAGAAACGTGGCATCATTAACAGCCTGAGATATGCAGATGATACAACTTTGCTTGCTGAAAGTGAAGAGGACTTAAAATACTTACTGATGAAGATCAGAGAAGACAAAAATTCTGACCACTGGACCAATAAACAACATCCATATCAATGGAGAAAAGATTGAATTTGCCAAAGACTTCATTTTGCTCAGATTCTTCTGTAGGATTGTGTTAAAGGTCTGATTTCCTATTCAGGCAGCACCACAACCCCAAGTTAACCTAAAATCTGTGGCTTCCTGACCTTTCTCTTCTGTTCATGACAAAAGATACAGTAGCTTTGTTTTTTTCTGCTTTCTCCATG